CGCGCAGCCCTCAATGTAATGTGGACGAGAAAGATAATTATAATATTCTATAGAAATAATTTCCTATTGGTGATTCCTTTCCAGTCAAGGGATAAGTGAATCAGAATGATGAACGCTACTTGTATTTGTATAGTCGTGTGATGTAGTGGATAGCATCGTAGACTTCTGATCTACAGGTTCAGTGTTCGAATCTCTGCACGAACTGTTTCATATTTTTTCTTCTTTGCATTTCTTATCTCATAAATAGTCTTAAAATGGTCTTAAAATGAGCCAGAAATGATCTAAACAGGATCATAATAGGCTCATATTTTGATGACCATAACAAGATGATATACATATCACCGACAAAACATTAAAAAGTTCATTTAGAGTTAAAGCAAAGTGCTTTTTCGTATTCAGCACACTTGTTAACCTGGAAAATTTTCTATTCTTAGCGAGGGGTACCGCCAAAAAGTTAAGAAAAATTTTTAAAATGGCTTAATTTTACCATGGGGATTTTTTCTGTGTCAATTTGTTTGAAAATTTTTCTTAACTTTTTGACGGTACCCCTCGCTAAAAATAGAAAATTTTTCAGGTTATCAAGTGCGCTGAATATGAAAAAGAACTTTTCTTTAACTCTAAACAAACTTTAATTTTTTTTTATCGGTGATATGCCCATAAAAAAAATGACATAATTATGACCATATTATGATACAATAAATGAGATAAATATGGGAAAGATATGATTAAAAATGAGCCATATATGGTACATAAATGAGTCATTCATGGCTCATTTTTTATCTCATTTTTCACGGCCTGGGTTCACTCTCCGTACGAAGGAAGTATTTTCGATTAGTGTACTTTTTTAAAGTCCTTCACGGCTTATCACTCTTGTCTCGATTCAATCTCATACAGTATGATGTGAGTAGAAGATCCGAACCGTCTATTACAGCATAATACACAAGTTTTTATCTCATTTACACGCACTAAAACTATTCTACAATCTTTTCTGTGCAGGACAGCTCGCAATTGGAACTCTCTCCCCAACACTGTAGTTATCTCGTCAACAATAAAATCTTTCAAAACCAAACTGAGGCAGTACCTACAACTGTGAAAGAAGGAAAGAAAAAAAAATATATATAGGATAAAAGGTGGCAATTTTTATAGGTTTCTAAAACTTATTTTGCTTTCCTGACAACCTGTTTTGTGTTTATTAGATTTTTGTACTTTCTGACCAAACGGCTGTTGTCGAAATAAAAATCAATCACTGAACATTTTTTTCTATATGTGCATATATAAAGTTAGTATCGGCCTAGTCTTAAATTGTCTCTTTTTCGTTCTATTGTATTTCGTAGTAAGAATAGAAGAAGAAAGTAGTTGTTTTCATTATATGTACAGTTATTCTGTTTATGTTTTCGAAAATGATCAGTTAAAGATTGAAATATCAACAAAACAGCTGTAATTATTATCACAGATATGTACGATTATCTACAACTATGTTTGAATGGTGTATAACATTTTTTAAATAGGGTTAAGTGAATTTTTAGTTTCTCTAGCAATACATTATTTAACACATTGTGGTAAATCTCACTTTATTTTTTCTCCATTCGTTTATTTTCTGTATTTCTGAAAAAATTCATTGACGTTTCTACTTTTTTGAAGGAAAAAAAATCCTCTCTTATTTCTATTTTTTTTTTTGAAATTGGATAGTGCGAATCCTATAATTACATTAATCAGTGAATTGAAATATATATATAGATGTACTGGATGATGTTCGATGCCTTTTCAGTGCTTATTTATATCATTTCATAGATATGACGATTATTTCGACTGGATTATATTTTTATTTTGTTTTACTGAGAAAAAAATAATAGTAAAGGAATTTTTTTTTAACTGAAATATAAACACAAACACTTACATACACAAAAAAGACGACAAAAAAAAAATAGAAAAAACTTATAGCATTGCAAAAAAGTAGAAATTTGTCTATTTATTTATTTAAGTCGTTTGATGAATTAAAATTAATCGGATGATTGACGACTTCCTTTGTGACGTCTGTCTGAGTCATCATTCTTTGCTGTACGTTCATCATCACGATGCTTTTCATGTTCATTTGAATGACTTAGTTCTTCACGATTTTCTTTAAATCGCATATCTGGTTTTCCATCTTTTGTTAAATGATGACCACTTTCATCTGTATCATCACCTATACAACAAAAAAAAGAAAAGAAAAAACATATACAAAATGATTTTTAAAATATATTTTTGTATTAATCATTTTTACCTGCATAAATATTGGCATGTAATGGATTATGATGAATACCTCTTCTACCATCATCGCCACTATCATGATCATCATCTAAAATAAATATAATAAAAAATGATGAGTAGATGCAATGAATATTCTTGTTTATTTATTATTGTATTTAAAAAAAAACAAAGCCAATTACTTTCACGATTATCTTCTCGATCTGGTTTTCTATCCGTTTTTGTTGGTCGACTTCTTTCACGACTATCATTATAATCTAAATAAACATTGATTTAATAGAACAAATAATAAAGAAAAAAAATAGTTAAAAATATTTACCTCGATCATCATTTTCATCACTATCACGATTTTCTTTGTGACGCATATCTGGATTACCATCTTTTGTTAAATGTGAACGACTCATGATTTTATATTGTTATTAATGTTAAATAAAAATAAATGACGTATGTAAAATATTGATGATATTAAGTTGATAAATGTTTGGTTAGTTTATAGTGACAATTGATGCTGCTATTTATATACTACCAGAGAGATGGAGAGAGAAGAAAAAAAAAAAAAAGGAAAATTTTCTTCTAGAGTAACAGAGAATATATCAACTAGTCTAGAGAATTTACATTATATAACAAAAGAATTTTCTTTTTTTTTCTTCTCTTCTTCTCTCAATCGTCATGTAAATATGAACTGTTTGACTTTTTAGTTTTGAATCTAAACAAAGTACTTACTTACTTTGTTTAGTATAACATTTAGTGTAGAGAGTGTGATGATCGAATGTATAAAACGTGATAAGAAAAACGATCGATGGACGATGTCTCTTTTATCTTTATTTTGACAATATGTTATATAATCATTTAGTTTTGACGTCATATTTATTCATTTCACTTTCAATAGAAGACTAAAGTGAAAAATAGTAGACTGGTCTTTATTTAAAATTAAAGAAAACATCGCAAATACTTTGTATTCTAAACTAATCAAATTTTAAACGTTTAGAAAAGAAAAAAAAACATATTCTATTTTCTCGAATCAGTCGGGTATGTATTAGATTCTACTTTAGTCAAACATTGTGTTATTACTTACACGACATTTATAAGAAAAATATCTTTTAACAGCATGATGTTTCTGAATAGGTTCGTTTTTGAAACATTCAAAACAGCGTTCGATGATGAATGAAAATCGTCGACATTTCAACGCATTGAACAGTCATAAAATTGTAAAATTTTCCATTGCCGATTAGACAAAAGTCTTATAAATCTAATGTCAAAATTATTTTTTTAATTTGAATAAAAACTGACTAATAGTCATACATTTAATGATGAGATAATATTTGCTAAGAAAGAAAAAGAGCTATGTCTTACAGAGGCGGGCGATGGACTAGCTTTACTTACCTCGTCATCGCCCCGTACCTCGCTAAGTTTTGATAAATGTACTGCGCGAGGAACGCCTCGTAAGCTTTCTGCTCGGTTGCCGCCTCAACCGTCCACCATCAACTCTTGATAAAACTTTCCACTGGCACTTCCTCATCGATCCTTCTGAGTCCAGAAAATCTCTGTTAAACATAAGTTATTCATTGTTTCATTTTGGTTCACCAGAAGAACCATCACCTTTTTTTATAAAAATAGATCAAAATAAACATAACATCTTTTGCTCACAAGAAAAAATATCCTTTGCGAGGTTCGCGTCGTGAAGTTCTTTGCCCCGTCAAGCTTTCAAAAAATCTTCCTTGCATGGTCCGCCCCGTAAAGAATCGCGAGACCTCGTGAAGATCCTCGTTCATCGCCTGTCTCTGGTGTCTTATTTGATATGGCTGTATTATTCTTACACGGGAGCACAACATCCTTTTATACCGCTAAACAAGGATATACATCAAGACATTTTTGGATAGGAGTACTGTTTCTTACTAGAAATATCATACACAAACATTTCTCAATAAGACAACACGTTTTATGTTTCACGATTTGTACTAGTTTTTAAAGGTGTACTAAAGTCTGCTCTGTTTTCTTTTCTAAAGTAATAATACAAGCGTAATTCTTCTGAACCCATCATGAAATATCGGGTGATCCAGGGAAAATGGCGGTATCACTATTCTGACGCAATTCTTAGACCTGATTGTTTTTCCAAAAGATGCGCCGTCAAAGTCTCTACAAAACTTGATCAGACTGATTTCTAGAGAAAGTTAAGGAGAAAAATTAAACGAACAATACTCAACTCGTAGAACGAACCAACTTCTTAAGCTGAAAAACCGTTTTATCCAACTACATTCATTGAGGTGCGTGATATAAAAGCAGATAACATACACATTTTATAGCCCTTGAAAAACTCTATCAACCAGTATTGAGTGAACAAATGTTAAATCAATCTGCGAGACTTGCATCGATTTTCTTCTTTGAGACTTTCGAAAATTCTGCTATTTGATTCTGTAGTTTCGGAGCTTCTGGAAAACGTCGCATAACGAAGCCAAAATAGCATCTTTTGAGCTTGAACTTTTTTCAGTTTTGACGACAAATAACTCCTGTACCATATTCAGTGGCGAAAGTTTGCTATAAAGTTATTCTTCTTAAATTCAGCTGGCGAAAATAAGCAGATTTTAGTCATTTTGAAATCAATTTTGAAATGCTAGATTTTTCAATGCTCATTTTGATTCTAACGAACTTTTAACTGCATGACGAGAAAGAGCGCACTTAAAAGTACTCAAAAACATTTTTACTTCTGCTTCATTGCCTTTAGTATTTTTTAAAATACTCGAAAGTTTGCACATCAAAATAGCTTATAAAGTTGGTCCGTTTCTACGTGCTAAGTATTCTTCATTTATTTTTCTCCTTAACTTTTTCTAGAAATCAGTCTAATCAAGTTTTGTAAAGGATTTGACGCGCGTCTTTTGGAAAAACAATCAGATCTAAGGGGTGAGTTAAAAAAGTTATAGTCAAAATACTGACACTGCCATTTTCTCTGGACTACCCGGTATATCACTGTTTCTGGAGTAATGACTATGGAGGACCATACCCATGTCGTCAAAATCGATAAAGTACCGATCAGTGGTCTTCAGTACCTCGACCGCTATACCGGTAGCAAAATCGAAATTACCGCACGGTAACCCTGATCACCGTTCGGTTTTCCGCCGGTATAACCAACGGTCCTATATTTTGTCATAATGAACAAGTAGAACGAGAGTTCGAATGTAGTTTTCAACTTTCCTTTCTTTTGTTGAGCATTTGTAAGCGCATAGAGGCTTCCGATTGAGAGAAAAAATTTGTCAATCTTATCTGAGAATGAAGAAAAGTTTTAAAAGTTTAATCTGAAGAAAAAATCGATCTGGACTCAACTGAGATACAGTCCATATTTTAGTCATGTATCTCAGTTAAGGAACAAATATTTCTGTGAAAATATTCGTTTCTCAACTGGGATACATTTCATAAAATATGGACTTCACGAAGTTCTCAGCCGAGATCCAATTTTGAAACGTGCTATTGTGCAAGATTGTAGCGTACTAAGGTCTATTATTCAATAGTGCATGAAATGAAATTGGGTATCTGATAGATCTCTATTGACTAACTGAGGAATTACTCCCACATTATGTGATCAAATATCGTGTATTTTCATGCCCACTTAACGCGTTATTTTATCATTTTTTAAAATAATTGAACAAGAATAATCATTAACTGTACAAACCCATCGTTCACTGCCATTTTTAATCGTACATTGGTGACGAAAGAGATTTTCTTGAAACAATATGGCATGGGCGCTTCTTTGAGTTTCTTTTCGAACAAAATCCATTTCGTGTTGAAATATGTCTTATCACTTCTTATAATGAACGGTTAAAGTCGAAATATCGTGAATAAAATAAGAAATGATCTCATTTTACTCGGCTGCTATAATTCTCAGACTTTCTTTGAACAGTTTACCCATTACTTCGTCTAATATTAATTTGTCTTATCAGTGTTTCACACTTATATAACTATTGAATAATAGGCCGTAGTATACTGCACTCTTGCACAATAGCACGTTTCAACGCACGTGTCAAAATTGTATCTCAGTTGAGAAACGAATATTTTCACAGAAATATTGGTTCCTCAACTGAGATATTTTCAACTGAGAGGTTTGATTAAACTATGGATTGTATCTTGAGACGTTATGAAAAAATCAAGGTTTTCCAATTTTTCTGTGTTTCTCATATGTACTGACGGGTGCAAAACAAAACGGTGGATGTATAAAAACGGCTACCATGCGGTATTGTTAATAAAAAAGCTCGAGATGGGCAAGAGACGCAAATATTAACTGTTTAGCTGCAGAAATTAATGTGATCAAGACTGAGTCGTATTGCCGTCTTATACAATTTAAACTGATATATTTCACCGTGTTGTCTCTCTTTCTTTATCAGTACTGTCACAAATATGTTCGCTTCGTTCTATGAACCTTTGCCTTACGTATTACTATCGGAATTTTCAAAGAAAGCGCGTGGAAGCTTATAACTTTTGAACGGAAAGTCATAGCAACCTGCGGTTTTCAGAGTTCAATAGACGACAGTCGAGGGCACATGCCAACGTGGAAAAGTGATCTTCCTACGCACTTTTTCAGACCAGATTTAGCCTACGAAACAGAATAACATATATTTCCAAAGAAACAACTTAAACAACTTTCACGCACATATATAACTTGTGTTTCATTCTCGCGTGGAATATCTGTTAGTCTACATGAAGTTTCTTCCTTATAAGGCTTCGGGTCTTTCAAGGAAGCGAAATCTAGAAATTGCTTAGATACCAATGTGAAGAGAGCATGTCGGGGTGCAAACCCTGCGAAAAAAGTTCGCTAGTTTGTCCTTAATTTCGTAGGCTAAATCTGGTTTGAAAAAGTACGTAGGAAGATCACTTTTCCACGTTGGCATGTGCCCCCGACTGTCGTCTATTGAACCCTGAAAACCGCAGGTTGCTATGACTTTCCGTTCAAAAGTTATAAGCTTTTTTTCCACGCGTGTTCTTTAAAAATTCCGATAGTAGTTCGTATTTACTACACAGCTAGAAAAGATTTCTACTTGTAATGTGAATAAAAAAGCACTTATCAATACGTTTTTGTTCGAAAACGTAGAGCGTTAGTTGCTCATTTGAGTTAGAATTTTTGACAATATACAGAACATTCGTTCCACACAGGAGCTGTTACGGTGATTTCACAAGCCCTAATTTATGAAGAAAAGTTTCCTTTTCATGTGTTTTTCTGTTAGAAAAAGACGCGTGTACTATAATAGTCAAGGTAAGTTGTTGCAGGACTTAACAGTACGAGAGAGAAGGCGGCGTAAAACATTCTCAGTTAACATATTCGTATCTCCAAAGTATTAGAGCTAAAAGTTACATCATAAGAGTGGAATATTTTCTGTACAGGAAAACCGGTCATTTGGCTCATTTAGCTTTTTAGAATCGGTATGAAGTGGTGTTCAAAGGAGATAGTGTCACTGACTTTTATTAGTATCACATTTCTCAATCACTCAGCTGTGTCATTCATGACCAAGGGTTAATCATTCGACTTTTGCACATAGTTACAAACACGTATATTGTGTAAAAAATGAATACTAATTGACTAAGTCGTACAACGGAAAGGTATGTACTGTTTAAAGTGGAAATTAAATTCAGGACACTATATCACTTTTCTAAGCAGTTAAGCAATTCATAATTTCGTATAATATTCAATAGTTCCTTAGTGAGTTGAAAAGGTTTTTCAATGTAGCATTTTTCTGAGATCATTAATAGCAGAAATCAGATACTTGCCACTAGAATTCTGTACCTTGACTTTTCCGCGAGCTCACTCTCTACCTGGTATTATGTCATAAATGTGGTTCTCTCGAATCTAATATTTTCAGTATGGCTATTTTTCCCATGAAGTATGCCTATGTAAACTTGAATCGCACGTAAATCGTAAATGCTCAATAAGAGAGCCATTCTGTTTTCGATCTTCTTCATTCATGGACTAGATGCAATTTCTACTGATCACGAATATTAGATTTAAGATTAGAATATGCTGTCGTCATGGAGAAAAATGTAATCTGGATGGCAAAAGTCAAAGTTGGAGTCTCGGCTCGGTACTAGATTCCCAGGAAGGGGGACAACTAACTGCAAAGGTCGAAGAACTTCTGAATGAAGATGGAGATGATTTTTAAGTTTTCTTTTTGTTTCTTTTTGACAAACATTTAGAGTTGAAAGTTTGAAAAACTGCCTTGTTTTTCTCCAGTAAAATGCGCTGTTCTACATAGCAAGAACGACAGTCAAAGAATGGCCCAAAATATACGACACTTTTGTTTTGTTTCAGAAGAAGTGTAGAATCCTAGATTCCACCGGATTCCACTAGATTCCATAGAATTTGAGGATTTCAGGGTTCCATGCTTTCCCCCTTATCAAAACTAGATCATTAGTGCAACATGTCGTGAAAAGAGCGCGAAATGACCATACTTAAGAAGTTTGTCCTTTTTTCTGGAGAAAAAAAGGCTAAAACATAGTATTTGAAAATTCGGTACATTTGCTAGCGAACTTCAAAACCGCATTTTGTACTTAATTAATTGTTAATTAATCTTAACATTTTGTTTTATCATCCCCTTAATTTAATCAAAAGTCGAGACTCACAGTGTGACTGTCAGAGATTCTTACTGTTTAATCGCGAATTCATGAATCGCGGTGTGAAGTGTCAAATCCTTAATTGAATGAGGAATGTCTGCGTCGCATTGCGAATCTTGTTTAAGAATCACGCTGGGAGTGTAAGACCAAAGCGCGACTAAGTCATGACTTTACAAATTTTTCTTAAAAATTGCCATGCGGCCATGTCACCCTCACCCTAAGCTCTGTTTAAAAGAAATTGTGAATAAAATTACACGCAAACTTTTAAAAAGATTTTAAACTATAAAAAAACTGTTTTTGAAAAATTTAACAGTGTATAAATATGAATATTTAAAAACTGGCCAGAATATTTAGCCTTGACTAGAACGTTGAATATGGGTTTTTATGAAAAAAGTGCTAATGTAATAGTTGCCTCATAGTCTTTGAAAATGGCGCAAGAATATGTGATTCAAAAATATTAGTTAGCGTATTCGGTTTTTTACTGTTGTCCTTGTTGTATTTCTGAATGACGTACGTACTCATGAATAAAAACTATACATTTCAACAAAAATGCGTAACCCTTACATCCAATGAGTAAAAGGTTAACTACAAGTAAAAACTTGAGCATAATTGAGCTTCTCATTGGATGTCCATGGGTGTCTACATTTTTTACTAATATCGGAACAATACATGTCAGTTTCCAGTATAATTGTATAAACTCTCCAGAAAATAGGACAAACTTCTTAAGTATGGTCATTTCGCGCTCTTTTCACGACATTTTACCTAAAAAGCATGCAAAAAATAGAGTGACTGTAAACTGTCACAGATTTTGACAGTAGACAGGCTGCATCTTGGCAAATAAATCACAATTCAGTCGTTTCGAAAAAAATGAGTATCGAGTGATGAAGGAGCCCTGTACAGACCATAAAAATTGGATAAGATACAAAACCTTGAAAATTATTGAATTGAACTTGATGTTTTTCCCTCGCCTGAAGAAAAAGGAAGCCAATGTAAAATTATATCAAACAAACTATTAATAGTTTCCATATTCAACCGAATGGTTCTATTTTAAAAGTAAAGGAATATTCTTTTCTGGGTGTCGAAATGGGCGCAAAATCGCTACATCTTAACATTCTTTTACTACTAAAAGAGCGTTATCATACAAAATGAAACGTCAGATTCGAAATTACTGCTCAGTATCAAAAACTTGAGCCAAACTAGTTTTTTTTTTTTATCCGTTTTACGTATCTTTATTTTTCAGTCTTAAATTTAGGCCTAAAACGGTAAAAATATTTTGAGGAGTACAAGCGGTTTTGAATCTCTTAATTACAGAACTTGAGTTCGCCACTGTTGATTATATATGAAAATCAGTTTTATAGAAAATGTTTGTGGTTTCGATGAGGAGACTGCATATCCGAATTTAAGACCGAATAATAAAATGATGCTTCGTACGACTGTGAGTAAAAGATTTTATAGGTTGAATAATGTCAACAGCAACGAAAATCTCACTACAGAATTTGGGAAACCGAGTTGTAGAGTCTGGCATTACTGCGATACTTTTTTCGTCAAAAAAGTCTAGTCCATCAGGAACAAATTCTTTAGTTCACCCATTCCATTCTTTGGATGATAGGGCATTGCTTTGTAGGATTCAGTTCACGGAAACTAAATTTTATTATATGGGGAAGCTTGACTGCATCATGTTCTCGAAGAAAAGTTCGAATAAAACAGGGCGTACAGCATAGTCTATAATTTATGTCTGGAGTTGGTTTCACGCCTATCGGACTGAGATAGGTCAATCCCAGAAACTGCTGTGGATCCAGGAGGCTGACAGCTAACGATCTCGTAATTGTAGAAGACACTCGAAGCTATCTAACCATGTTAGTTTCTAATACAATAATACAATTATACATACAATATACAATATACAACATACAATATAAATTATAATAATACAATAAATTCAAGGAGTTTTTTCTGAGCAAGTGGACCATTTCAGCAGCTTAGGCGTGTTTTCATTGTATAGGGCGGCCGTTTCGGTCTCTGATAGAGACAACAACAAGTACAGTTTATTCATTTATACATCTAGTAGACCAATAGACTTCAAGGTCAGACCCTTTATAAGGTAGTGCCACAATTAATATCAATATGCGCGAAATTCTTGTAGTTACCATTCTCTCATCTACCTTGTCCAAATATGGAACTAATTTCCCTAATTAGTGATTACATTAATGAGTTCAGAAAAGTTCCCAAACCTTTTCAAGGTCTTGATACAGAATTTTGAATCAAAATTGTGAAGCAGACTAGTATCACGTGCAAAGTAAACATCATAAGTCGCTATGATACCGGTCGGTTCAAGGTGTAAAATGCAAAGATCCCCAAGTTCTGCTCAAGCAAACTCAATAAATTATTTTTGAATTTGAAGTTCTCTCTCTTCCGCATTACTCCTAATAAAGCGAGCATCTTATTTTGTCCGGCTGCTGACTTGTGGGTCAGAGAACAAACATGATGTAAAACTCCGAGTTATAGCGCTATCCAGCAACGATTTCTCGTCCGAACGGCTCAAACTTTCCGGGAATAATTAGCAGAGACCACAGAACGCAGATCGAGTCGGAAAGATGTGATCCGAGCTTTCGTTCCGTGGAAGATTTTCCAGAAATCCGGTAAATGACTGACCATTCTCATGAAATCTACTTAACCTGTCAATCATCCAATGGCACATTCAACGACGACACGAGCGCGACTTAATCGATAACTGAACGTTTGTTGATCAAGATTTAAGCTGACATTTCGATAGAGCTTCAGCACAATCTCGATCAATGGATATACGCAATCATCCACCAAAAACATAGACATTTAACATTTGGCATTGAAAGTTTCGATTGTTTCTTCGACATCCGTTGTGAATATTTTCTCACTTTGAATTTTATTTTATACGAAGGAATTCCTGATACTCGAGCTTGGTGAACGGATGCTCGCCAATCAACAGCTATCGAATGAATAAAATATTCATGGTAGACTATTAACTGTAGGTGCATTGAATGAAAAGTTCTTCTATTGGAATAATCGACTGGATTAATTTCTGGTGCCGGTATGTCGATACGTGAACCATCAACAGCCCCTGTGGGCGATGGTACGATATTCTGCGGTCGAAGCCATCATGTTTATTGCAACTGCTGAGTGTTTTTCTGTTGGTTTCGTTTGACGCAATGTTGTCCTTTGTTTCGCTATATTAGCGCCGAATTTTACCGGTAGATGTCTAAGACTTTTCTTCTACCCATTGATGTAAGGAGTTGTGCATTATTTCTAAAGGTGACCTTAAAAAGAGTGAAAGTTCAATTGAAACGTATCGAAACATACACTGCTTCATAGAACTGAGTCAGATTTATTGTCGGGTATACGAGAAAGCTTTTTCCAGGTCCATTTAATTTGTGCTACATCTCAACAAACTGGGTGCTTTTTGTCGTATTGACATTAGCGGCATGTTTTCTGAGAAAAAGGAAATAAATTTTCTGTCATTATTACGACTACTACAATCGGCTGACATAAGTAGATAAACTTCACAGTAAAGTTCTTTCGCTTTTTCCCGAACAAATGATACAATAATTGTACGTTTCACTCATATATTCGACAAATACTGAGAGAGATATTTATTCCATCGCACTCGTTAATAAGAAACTTATAATGGGTATTTTCTGTGACGAAAACGCTTATGCCTTTACCTTCAGCGTAAATTGTTCCATGATAATGCACAGCTGTTTCATGCAACCAAAAAAAAAATTTGTCCTTTCTCTTTTTCTTTCCACTTATCGCGTGTACTGTCCCGATCGCTTAACAATGATCATACTCAAATTTTTGTCTTTCTATACTTTATAATTGCGATAATTCATCTTATGTTTACTTCACAACAGGTAAGAATGAAAAAAATATTATAACCGACGTTGATAATACAGATCCGCTTCGATATGATACAAGTGTTACTGGATCTATCCTACAATCGGCGGCTGATAAAAAGTGAGTGAGAAATACTTCAAAGATTGAAAATTAAGCCTTTTTTGGTTTAGTCAAGTCTTTAACTACGTTGAACATAGTAATACTGACGCATTTTAAAAAGTATTAGAGACGGATCACAAAAGCGTTATTCAAATGAGAAATGATCGGAATCAGGTAAAATTTTCAAACAAAGATTCTAACCTGTAAGTCTTAGATCTTCCCATTATCTTCTAGACTCTTCTGCATGTTGTCGTTATACATTTATTTCAATATGTGTATGTTCGTTTATTGTTGATGCTTAACGCAAATCCATGTGCACGAGACAGAGATTGTTATACTCCCGCACACTATGCTGTTGAAAAGGATGATGTTGAGATGCTAAAAGCACTCAGCGTCAGGTTCCATGCTAAGATCAAAGCAATTCCAGATAGTGAAGTGAATAGTACTCTCAAGCGGTGTCTAGAAGCATTGACAATTTGTGAAAATCGTGGAATGACAGCATTCATGTTGGCTTGCTTCAAACAAGCAATCAATTGTGAAGTCGGCATCTTATTTTGTCCGGCTGCTGACTTGTGGATCAGAGAACAAACGTGATGTAAAACTCTGAGTTTTAGCGCTATCCAGCAAGCAAAACTTATTTTTTTTCGAAAGTGGCTTTGGCTTCCAAACCTGAGATAACGCTGTCTTGATTCGAGAACAGTCTGAAAAAATCAGCTCAAAGAGACTTTCTGTCATCGAGCGGTGAAACATAGAAAGCCACAAAATTAGGAAGAAAATTTTGAAAAATGTCTTTCTCTTTACAGTCTTACCCTTTCGAGCTGGAACGTCCAGATAAACAAGGCCACTGCTTGTGTTAGTCACAGTAAAAATTTCAGTCAATACATCTTCGACCCTTCGACAGATCAAGATTCAATGGCAATAACGGAAATTTTGCTTATAACTTGAAAAGTTCATAACGCCTAATCCTTACACGGTTTTAGTAAGATGATTTCAAAAAGTGCGTACTATTTTAACTACAGTGAGTCATTTTCCCAGAAGATCGTGTTGAGAAAGTTAACACTTAGTTTCTGACTTTATTCAGCGAATCTTTACTTCAAAGGT